CGCTCGGGCTATAAACACACACGGAAAACCGAGAGGAAGGGAGGGGGGTGGGGGAGCGAGGGTGGGGGTGGGAGAAACAGAGGGAAAGCCCCCCCCCCCCAGGCAGCGAGCGGGTCGAAGGAACTGCGGAAATGCAGGATGAGGTGGAAGACGTCTCGGGAAGGGAGGCAGGAAAGGGGAGCCTCCCCTCCCTCCCTCCTTCCCTCCGTTCGGCTTGAAAGCCACCGAGGAGCACCCGCGGAGGGGTGGGGGTGGGAGAAGAAGTTGGGGGCAAAACAAAACCCGCCCCTACCCCCCCCCAGGCAGCGAGCGGGTCGAAGGAACTGCGGAAATGCAGGATGAGGTGGAAGACGTCTCGGGAAGGGAGGCAGGAAAGGGGAGCCTCCCCTCCCTCCCTCCTTCCCTCCGTTCGGCTTGAAAGCCACCGAGGAGCACCCGCGGAGGGGTGGGGGTGGGAGAAGAAGTTGGGGGCAAAACAAAACCCGCCCCTACCCTAAACCGGAGAGACTCTGTGGAGGGTTTGGGAAGGGTGTCAAGAGAGGGGGAACCCCCCCGCCCCAAGTCCCACACACTCCTATTCTGAGACCCACGACTGCGGACTCGCGGGAGGGACCCGGAGGCACCGGGAGCACCGCCCTTCCCCTCCGCACTCACCCGCGAAGACACGCCGAGAGAAGGCACCGGCGTGTGTGTGAGAGAGAAAGTGTGTGTGTGAATGTGTGTGTGAAAGAGAGAGAGAGAAAGTTTGAAGCGGGGCTGACAGAGCCTCTTCGCTGCCTCTCTGAGCCCGACCCGACCCCACGGCAGACACCCGCGCCCGAGGTCGCCGCAGCTTCCGCCGGTTATGCTTACCGCAACGGCGGACCAACCCAACGACAGCAGGACGACGCTCTATAACCGACGCCGGGAAGCGGTTGGCGGCTCCGAACCCGAATCTTCGGGCGCCGCCGTCGCCGCCGCATCCCCGCCGCCGCCCATGGAACCCGCCCCCCCTTTCCTTCCTTCCTCGCTCTTGCTCTCGCTCTCTCCTCGCTTTAGCCCTGGCGCAACCCACTGCCAGACTGGCCGCCACCCGCACGCCCCAAACCACTCCCCGCCCTGGCTTTCGAGCTCCAGCGGAGGTCCCCGCCCCCTTTCCCAAACCACCGATCCGTATTGGGCGGCTGTGGCCACCCGGGGCGTGGCTTACGCTAATAAGGAGAGAGCAGGGGCGTGGCTTACGCGAATAAGGAGGGAGCAGGTACGGAAGGAAAGGAGAGGCGTGGTTTTCTTTTGAACCTCTCGCTCTTCTTGAAGGCTCAATCTAGACCCGCCGACTCCTCGCCGAGAGGAAAGCGCGGGGGACAGGACCACACGCACCTTTAGTCTAAACAAGCAAGCAGAGAAAGAGAGAGAATCCGTCCTTCCACAGGCTAACACCTAAAAGTGCGTTTTTATTTTGCCCTCTGGCGTACAAGGGTGGTTGAAAACCAACTTAGATCGAATAGATTGGGGGAGCAGCATCCACGCTCCTTTTTTAAAAAAGAGAACAGAGCCCGAGCTGGTTAGCTGTCATCTGTCTTTTTTTTTTTTTTTTTTTTTGAGTTAATTTTCTTTTGGGGGGG